AATCTTCACCTAGAAATTTTTATTATTTTGTTAATCCTTACCTGGGGACATTTTTTCCATTGATTTCTTTTATTTATTTTCTTTTTTTCTTTTTTTTAGAGAGAGAATAAAAGGAAGGAAGAGATGGAGGGGGAGAGAGAAACATCCATGTGAGAGAGACACATCGATTGGTTGCCTCCTGCACCAGGCCAGGTCGACAGGGGATGGATCGAACTTGCAACCCTTCGGTGCTGGGCTAATGCTCTAACCACTTAGCACACCGGCCAGGACTCTTTTGACTAGAACTTTAAAAATAAAAAAACCTTAGCAACTGATTTAGTGAAAAAATTTAATCTAATAATATCACCCTACAGCTAAATGAGAAAATGAACAAAAATATTCCAAAAACATTAGAAAGGACCTATTAAATCAGGAACAAGTTAACACCACACTCCAATTTCTAGGTGCTGGGGGCTCTATGGAAAAATTACGCACTGTTTGTCAGCCTGACACATGGGCAGGGAACTGTCATAGTTTGAGGGTTCTGGCCTGCACAGTCTCTACTGCTGTCAAAATGTCACTTTTAAGGGTTGTTTTTTGAACAATGCAAGAATACAACATTGAAGAAGAAAAAAAGAATGCAACATTGCAGCCCTAGCTGATGTGGCTCATTGGACAGAACCTCGGCCAGTGAACTGAAGGGCCTTGGGTTCGATTCTGGACAAGGGCATGTACCCCGGTTGCAGGCTCAATTCCCAGCCCAGGTTGGGGCACCTGCAGGAGGCAACCCATTTTTTAAAAAAATATATTTTATTGATTTTTTACAGAGAGGAAGGGAGAGAGATAGAGAGTTAGAAACATCGATGAGAGAGAAACATCGATCAGCTGCCTCCTGCACACTCCCTACTGGAGATGTGCCCGCAACCAACGTACATGCCCTTGACCGGAATCGAACCCGGGACCTTTCAGTCCGCAGGCCGACGCTCTATCCCCTGAGCCAAACCGGTGGTTACGGCAGGAGGCAACCCTCAGAGGCAACCAACGCTCTATCCACTGAGCCAAACCAGTTACGGCAGGATGTCTCTCTCACATCAATGTTTCTCTCTCGGCCTCTCCCCCTCCCTTTCACTCTCTCTAAAAAAATGAATGGAAAATATCCCCGGGGGAGGATTAACAACCACAAAAAGAACACCGATTGCATAAAATCATTCCCACCACTTCTGAATCCATATCCCTGAAGCTCTGTATCTTATAACAAATCAATATCCTGAATTTCATTTATAAAAAGACATAACATTTCTTCAATTACCTCTGCTCTTACCAAACGAAGACCACAGAAAAAGCAAGGTCTATATAAAAGCATAATGACCTAAAACCTCAATTAACCAGAACATGGGAGCTACACTCTGGGTGCCTTCCAGGGTAATCAGATCTCCTACTTTGTTTTTAACGCTCATCAATAAAACCCACCTAAAAATTACATTTCCTGCCTTAAAAAGCAATAATAAAAATAATCCAATCCTTTTTCGTGTCCTAAAATTTTAACATCCCTCAGGCTCCTCATTTTAAACATGAAAAGTTGGTTTAATAAACCTAACCAAGTCCTGAAAGTACTGTCATGGAATTATAGATTTTCTAATTTCAATGTAAAATAATGTTATCATATTTCATTAATATTTCACGTATTGGTCATATTCCTATCTAAAACTGAAGTGTTGTTTTAGCTCAAAAATCAAATAGTACTGAAACTGAAAATGTATGATATAAGCTCCTAAAACTTCCCTTTGAAAATGAGTTCCTATGAAACTGCTTGGTTTTATGCTTCTCCTTAAAGTAGTATGTAGCCAAGGGTAGACTCTAGTTAACAAGATTCCAGTTAATCAGTTACAGCTCTTAAATTGGAACACATTCAGAATTATTATTAACATCTAATTATTTTTTCAGCATTATAGGTTCCCTATGTGAATAAATGATATTTAGCAATAAAAATGCTAGGTTAAGCATAATATTGAAGTCTATATTCAAATGACTTTTTCCTCAAAGCTCCTTCTGAAGAACAAGGTAACAAATTAAGGAACCATTTTCTAAAAAGGCTGAGAATTACAGCATGTGGTTTTTTAAAAAATGGATTCAAAGTGGTAGCCACAGAGCTCCCCCCTTCTAAAGCTGCTACAGATTTTTTTGATCTAATATCCCCAACACTACAATCAATAGAAGGGTCCTTGAAAAATGATCTACTGATGAATTCTGATATCCACGTTGCAGAATTTCAGTTGTTTTATACTCTATGTCTGGAATGCTTTTTTCAGTATTTAACACTCATCTGTCAGGTAAAAATAACATCCATAAGCAAACAAACCAGACCACCCTCCCTCCCACCGTGGGGCATATGTTCTAATGAGGCAGACGATAAACAGAGTAAATTAAGTGACAAAGGGCATCAGAATAAGTGCTGTGAAGAAAAGGGAGGGCTCAGGGGTTTAGGGAGAGAGATACCATTTCAAATAGTAAGAAGAAACCTCACTGAGAATTCTGTGTACAAACAGGAACATAACAGTCAATGTTATTTATTTGGCTTTGAAATGCATTACATGCTTGCATTTGGAGTTTTTTAAATATTCATAGAAGCTTTCTATTTTCTCTATTTCCTCAAAATTGACTCACTGGAGAGAAGGAAGGCAGCCTACGATATGCCACAGATATTTCTAATATTTTGGTTTACTTGATGTTTTTTTGAGAACTATAACTACAACTAAAGTGAAATTTAGGGTTCTCCATAAAACTAATAGTCAAAATGCAATTTAGATTACAAAACCTAACATCCTCTCCAGCAATTTCTGGGATCTTTATCCCATTAATATTTATTAGAGGTAGCCCATGTATGAACAACAGCAGTCTCTAATGTCAGACTATCTTGCAGCAGTAAAACATTCAGATATTACTTGAAATGATTATCTTTCAAAGTAAACCCACAGAACATGTCTCCCCGAATTGCATATTTACATAGAAAATATATTTGTAACATTTTTAAATGAAATCGTTTTATCAGCATTTCATGCAATATTCTGGAGACATTTTCTAACTTGCAAGCTGGAAAAAATAACAAACAGAGCAGAATAACTGATGTTTAAATATTTTAACTTCGAAGACTAAGAATTCTTAAGTATTACAAATGCACCAAGAAAAGCTTAGACATAGTTAAGCAAGTTACAAAGGTCTGAAGTCATCTTTCACAAAAGACTTGTTAGTGCTTCAAATGAAGATATCTGATACTGAAATTTACACTGTTTAAGTATCTCAATATCACCAAAGAACTAATTTAACTAGTCCATTTGCAGATTCAATAATGAATAGCAAATGTAGGTGAAAAGACAAAAAAGAAAATATGGGTTTTAACGAGAAATGCCATCACTGACTAAACTAAATGCACTTGAACTATTCCCCAAATACCCAACCCAAACACATATTTTAAAAATGTGTTTGTCCTGCCGAAACCGGTTTGGCTCAGTGGATAGAGCGTGGGCCTGTGGACTGAAAGGTCCCAGGTTCCATTCCGTCAGGGGCATGTACCTGGGTTGCGGACACATCCCCAGTGGGAGGTGTGCAGGAGGCAGCTGATCGATGTGTCTAACTCTCTCTCTCTCCCTTCCTCTCTGTAAAAAAAATTAATAAAAAAATATATTTTAAAAAAATGTGTTTGTCCCAAGAGAAGCAAAACTTTGACATTTTTGCTTGGATATATTCGACTTTCAGACCTCCGTCCCAAATCTGGCCAAGAACATTTCAAACTTAGCCTGATGTAACTTTTAAAGATCAAACTGTGAGCAATTTGATACTAAAATCTGAAGTTGATAGTCAATAGAATGTCACAAATGAAATGAAAGAAGCAGTTTATCATCCTCCACGTGAAGAAAAGAATGTGGAACAAAAGATGCTTCTGCCTCTTCTGCCCTTTGGATGGTGAACACCATAGTTCTCTCCGTATTCGTCCCAAGGAAGAGAAAATGATCATTTTTTCAAAGCTTGCTACATTGAAATACGACCATTTCTCCTAGACTTGCATCAACCTTCTCCCCCACGCCCCAAATATTTTTATTTAAAAAAAAAATCAGAAGAATAGATCCAAGTACCCTATAAACTACACCTAGATTACTTGGTTCCAAGGCGAAGGAAAATGGTTACGATTCCAAGACTCACTCGGAAGCCTGGATCTGCAATGCGTAAGCTTTTCGCTGGCAAGATCAGTCAGTATCAGAAAGCATGTAAGGTTGACAAGGTTAAGTGGATGAAGACTGAAACAACAAAATAATCAGCTAAGAAATATTTTTTTTTTTTTTTTTTTTTTGCCAAGTAACCATAAAGTAATCTCGATCCTAAAGGAATCAGAGGGCTTTCTTGTTCTGTTGAGGCCAAGAAGCCCTTGCACGATCTAAAGTGCCACCGAGGCGTCGGGGATGGAGCAGGATGCACTGAGCCAAACCTCAGCACGATCTCACCTTTGGGTGGAAGGTGCGAGGGGAGCAAGGGCTCTGAGCTTCTGCTCGTTCGCTGCAAGGACCCTGGGAGGGGGAGGAGGAGGAGGAAAGGGGCGAAGATGCGTGTCCGCGGTGCAGCCTCGGGACCCTGGGCAGGGATGCGGAGGAGTGGGCGCTTATGTAAGCACACGCCACCCCGTGCGTGCGCCCGGCCCGATGCGCATCGGAGACACAACACACGTACCGGCATCTCCCCGGGGGCGCAGCCCAGCCAGCGGGCGCTGCCGGGCACGGTGGACCGACCCTCCGGCCGGGCGGCAGGTCCCTCACACCGCGCCGCCACCACCCGGGGCTGCGACGGGGGCGGGCGGGACCCAGGTGCCCCGCCCAGGACGGAGCTCGATTTCCCGGGGGCGCCCGCAGCGCGCGCCCCCAGCCTCCCGCGCCCCGACCCCCGCATTCCCAGCCGGCTCCCGGCGCTGGCCCCGCGCCTGACTCCGACCCCGCGCGCCGCCCCGCCCCGCTCCGCCCCGCTCCGCGGCTTACCTCGCGCGGCCCAGACGCCGCAGTCGCACAGCAGCGCGGCCAGCAGCAGCCAGGCGGCCGGGGCCGGCGCGGGCGCGGGGCGGCGCAGCATCGCTCGGGCGCCCGGCCCTCGGCGGGAGCGCAGGGAGGCGCTCGGGGCGCAGAGCGGGTCTCAGGCGGCGCGGAGCCGTGCAGCCGCGGCGGGGACCGGGGGCCGCCGCCGGGACGCTGGGCCGCGCGCTCGGGCCGCGAGCGCCTCCCCTCCTCGGAGGCAGCGCTTCGCTGGAGGCAGCGGCTCCAACTAAGATGGCGGCGGCGCTCTCTCTCGGGTCCGACCTGGGTACCCGACTGGGGGCGGGGCCTGGCGAGGTGGGGCGGGGATGTGGGCGGGGCTAAGCGGCTGCGGGGCGGGGCGGGGCGGGACCCGAGCCCAGGCCAGGCGCGCGCGCAGAGGCCCGCAGAGCCCGCGGGGCGCGGGAGGGCGCGGAGGGGCGCGCACCCGTGGGACGCGGCCTGGGGAGGTTCCCGAGCGGATGGGAGGGCCCCGGGGGACTGTACCCCCGCCCCGGCCGCTGCCCAGAGCATCCGCTCTCCATCCCCACGCGCGTTCCCGGGCTCCGGAGCCGAGCGAGGGAACCCCGGGACCCGGGCTTCCCCTCCTGCCCGTCCGACCCCCACCCGCCCCCAAGGAGTGCAGACCCCACTGGAGGGTGCAGCCGGTGGCCTCTGACTGCCCACAGCTTGGCCGTTTCGGGAAAGTCGCGTCTCCTCCCAGGACCCCGGTGCCTTCTGCCAAGTAGAGGTGATGAGGGGGCGCTCGGGTCGTGAACGGTGGTGAAGGATGCGAGGTCAGCACCGCGCTCTGTGCACGGGCCGGCCGGGGCTGCGCTGCAGGTGCGGTGGCGGGGGGGTGGGGAGGGGCGGTGGCCTGTCCCAGGGAGTCGGTCCTGAATTTGTAACTCAAGATTCCTCCATTTGCTGAAGATGTCTGTTTGTGGCTTTTAAAGGTGGCTTGTGCGCGCGCCCCTTTTAGAAGATCTTGGTGTGATGCAGATGTATAAAACGCCCCTCGGGTGGATCCCTACAGGGGTCCTCTCCTTTCCCTCGACTCCCCCGCCCCATCACCCCGCACACACTAGAGGAAAGAACTAGAAGCATCATGGAGGGTTCCTGTGTCCAGGCACCACGAGACAACATGATTGGCGCCATTTTGCAGATGAGGAAACAGGCAGGTGAGGACTTCCGCAGTTGGGACAACTGTAAAAAGAAATACCCTCCAGGACCGTCGGTGCCATTAGGGAGACACCAACAGCAAAAGTCCAATGGCAATAAAATATGAGCGATTCCAGGCTGTGTTGGAAGAGCTGAAGGCGGCCCCTGCCCGCGTGTGCGGAGAGGGTCTGGCTGGCGGGCGGCCCGTGGAGACCAGCTCCGGGCCGGGTGGAGGGGTGGGCCGCTTTGGAGACTGGGAGGGAATGAGTCATTCCATGTGTGGGGAGCAGAGGACTTATTTCGGGGAGCAGTGGGCGAGGCAGCTTGAGGCCAGATTGTGAGGTGCCTGAAGTGACAGGATGAGGGGTTTGGACTTACTCCTACAGGGACGACCTTGAACAGCAGTGAACAGAGGCGTGATGTGAGGGTTTCAAAGCAGCTCGTCCTTCCCTGTCCTTTCTCCCTCAAAGGCAACCTCCACCACAGCCTGGAGATCCCACCTCTGCTTCCCCGCCACCCCCTCCTCTGCGTCCAGGAGGACTTGGCTCCCCTGGGGTGGCCCCTGCTATCTCCAGGCCACCCCCCCATTCCTTCCAGCCAGCTCTGCAGATTCATCCTCTCCAGCCATTGCTGAGCGTCCATCCCACCCTGGCTCCTATTGGGGGGTCGGGGTGGGGGGGGGCGGGGGGGGGGCTGCCGCCTCCGCATCAGGTCCAGGCAGCTCTTCCAGGCTTCCCACCTCTCAGCCCTAGGCCACACCCAATGGACCTCAGGGTCTGCTGTTGCCATTATCTTTTTTAAAAAATATATTTTTATTGATTTCAGAGAGGAAGGGAGAGGGAGAGATAGAAGCATCAATGATGAGAGAGAATCATTGATTTGCTGCCTCCTGCAGGCCCCCTACTGGGGATCAAGTCTGCAACCTGGGCATGTGCCCTTGACCAGAATCGAACCTGGGACCCTTCAGTCCACAGGCTGATGCTTTATCCATTGTGCCAAACCAGCTTCTGTTTGCCATGATCTGCCTTCAGTTCATTCCTTCCCAGGACCCTTCTTCCCCTCAGCCCTGAGCCTCAGGTCCTTACAGTGCATCTCTGGGCTGCCTCCTCCAGGAAGTCCTCCTGATGCTCTCTTAACCAGCCAAGGCTTGATAATCTGCTACTTTGTGTCCTTTTCTCCTCCCCATTAATCTAGTGGGAAGGACCCAGATGGTACAGTCAGACTGCCCTGGATGGAAATTCTGACTCCTGCTCCTACAAAGGACCTTGGACAACTTATGGAACTGAGACTCTTTCCTCACCTGTTTCCTCAAGTCATGAGACTTAAATGACACAATGCAATTGAAGTGCCTCACAGAGCCTAGTATACAGTAGGTCTAAACATATGGCAGTTTCTTTTTCCCTCAGGAGCCTTCTGAGCTCCTAGTGTACTGCTGAACACACAGTAAGAGCACAATAAACATCCAGTGATGAACTAAATGAGTTGCTGTGTTTGTTTATTATTATTATTATTATTATTACAGAGATCCCACATGGGACCTTGAAGATTCACACAACAAAATCAGAAAGGTATCATCTCAGAACTGCGTTTTGAGTCAATAGGCTGATGCCAAGAGGGAGAGTGTAATGTATTCAATTCTATTAGAAACGCAAACAGACGCTCTCTGTTGTCTGGAATCCTGATCCCTTTATCTTCTCACCCTCACTGTCCCTTAAAGAAACAAAGAGATCGATCCAAAAGGTCCCGCAGCAGGTGGGCAGAGCTCAGGGCAACCTGCACACGCTGAGATGTGCCCTCAGGGGGGTTAGTCCAGCTGACAGGCTCAGCCTGAATGTCTTGGAAGACAGAGAACAGTGAACTCCCTTTCCGCTCTGCCTGACAATAGCCTCGCCATGTTGGCCCTTTTCAAAGGTCTCCGCGTGATGGACTAGCTCATCCTCAAAGTGGCCCTGCGATGGAGATCGATGCAGACTTGTGCTGTGATTAGCAGAGGGGCCGCGCCAGGGGCCCTGGGGCAGCAGGAAGAGAGGCACCACCCAGCCCTGTCCTTAGCGGGTACTTAGATGGGAGGATAAGGGGGTGACTTTGTCAGCCAGGCAAGGAAGACTTGAACTTCTGAAGGAGCAATAGGTAGAGAGGACACAATATCTAGGTGCTGCATTACATATATATATATATATTTCTTTTTAATTGATTTCAGAGAGGGAGAGATAGGAATAGCAATGATGAGAGAATCATTGCTGCATGCCTCACACAGGGGATTGAGCCCGCAACCCGGGCATGTGCCCAGACCGGGAAATGAACCGTGACCTCCTGGTTCATAGGTCGATGCTCAACCACTGAGCCAGGCAGGATGCTGCATTTTTTTAAAATGACTCTTGTGAATCACAACAGCCTCTGTACTAAGCTCCTATCATTTATGTCCAGCAACACTCTCCAGAAGGGACTTGTATTGTTCCAGGTTAGAAAAATGTAACATTTGTTCAAGAGCCCACTGCTAGAAAGGACACCTGGGGTTCAGTTTCATGTCTGTCTGAACCCCGAGACGGTGCCCTAGCCCCCGCTCTCCTGACAGCGTGCCTGGGAGCAAGCCCCCTTCAGGGGTGCCGGGGAGCAGGTTGTTAGAAATATGATGAGAGCCCCTGATGACAGACTCCTCAAGGCACTAAAACCACAGCCCCCGCACCACCACCAGGCTCCCCTGCGGCCTCTCCTCGGCCAGGCCCCGTCTCAGCCAGGCCAGGCCGGTCCCAGCCACTCCATCGCTGTAGGAGGGATAATGAGACACGGAAAGATGTGACTTAGGGCAGACACTCTGGTTGGACAGACCTGGGTTCAAATGCATCTCTGTCCACTTCCTTCCCTTTTGCACAATTTTCATCTAATTGTCTTGAATGGTTATGTTAAATCTTCGCAAAGTTCCAGAGTCAAACCCTGGAAGCAAGGTGCTCAGAGAAGTCTAGTCCCATTTCTAGATCCTCCTCTCTGATCTCTCCTTCACGTATAGATGACTGTGTTGCCTGTTTTGCACATATCCTTCCATTCAAAAATACAAACAAAGCCTGGCTGGTGTAGCTCAGTGGTTGAGCATCAGCCTATGAACCAGCAGGTTATGGTTTGGTTCCCAATCAGGGCACATGCTGGGATTGTGCGCGCGCACACACACACACACACACACACAGGCAAATGCGGTCCCTCTGGGGACACACAAGCCAAACTCTGTCTGCCCTGTCTGCCACAACATGTGATGGGAAGGACTGGACTGGGTTTCAGTGAGGAGGAAAGGCGAGGGCAGAAACGACCCAGCCCCCCACACACACACACCCCAGCCCCAGGAGGAAACCCGGCCACGGTTCCTGCACAGTGAAAACAGCAGCACATCAGGTTCCCTCCCAGCTCTGTCCCATTCCCCGGAGCTGGGAGGAGCTTGTAGGGTCCAGCGGTTTAACAAACAGGAGGAATGTTTTACTCACATGGTCTTGCTTCAGACAAAGCCTGGTTCCAGTGATTAGCAGGGAAGACCAGGCAGCCTAATTGCTCTGAGCCTCAGTTTCCTCATCTGTAAAATGGGCACAATAATAGTCATACCTCATTTAGCCTATTGTGGGGAGCAAATGAGAGGATGCATATGAGGGGCTTAGCTCAGGGGGTGACACCTAGCAGGTACTGGGTTAGTGGTAACTGCTCTCTGTTAGTGGAGACGGTAATGAGGGTGATGGTTACTGTACGCCGATGGATTTCAAGAAGGTGAAGGAGATGATGATGGTGGTAATAGCACTGTCACGCAGCTCTTTTTAGTTCTCATTTGTCGAGCACAGTTCCCTTTCTCAAGAGCGTCTGTATGCATGGGGAACGCACAGCAATGTCCCTGGTAGGAGTTTATTTTATTTTTAATTAAAAAAAAATATTTTTATTGATTTCAGAGAGGGAGA